TTCACCTGAATCCACAAGTTATTGCTCAAATATGTCGCCAAGCTGAGGCAGCGATATTTAACACAAATGATTATTAAATTTCATAAACTCTTACATAAAAAATAAAATGATTTACACAAAATAAAGGAAGCACTTCCGCAGAGAACCCGGTAAATGTAAACATCGCCAACTTTCGCGATAATAGTTTAAATCTGGTAACCCAGCAGATTTATCCTATTCGCTTGTTCGAAGTTTGCAACCATTCCTCTTGCGTTCATTTTGTTGAATTATCACTGTCGTTATTCGCATTTGCAGATTTTCGTAGATAGATGCCGGTTCTCGGTTCAGGATGAAAGGAAGAAAATACGGTGGTGAATGCTAATTTGTAACATGGCTGTTTACATTGTGTTCTTAATTATTAACAGCTCTAAGAACTATGAGGTTTCCAACCTCTAAAATAATTTGTTTCCGTAGGCCGCAAAAATGTGCATGTGCATTTTAAATAACCAAGTAATGCTTTTATTTTTATTATTGTTTATTGTCATCTAAAATTATGAGAATAAATCAATTTTTATAGTGTAAAATTTTAACAAGGTAATATATTGTTAATGCTTTTCTAACAATAACCTTTCAGAGGATGGCAGGTGTGACATAAATAGATGATTAAATTGAAATAAAAAATATTATTGATTATCTAAGATGACAGAATAGTTTGATGTATCACCATAGTCATCAGAATTAGCAAACCACTGCTGGTGAAAGGAATATATTGTTTTCTGTGTTAAATGGAATTTAAGACAAATTTTTTTTCGTTTATCACGTTTAACCGGTTAATTTCAGTATATTAATACTAATTGATATTTATTAAATGAATTTTTATTTCCGTTATAAATGCTTATATATTGTCTTATGCTTAATATATTCTTTTCTCTGCTAACTTGAATTTAATACAAATTTATTTTCGTATATCACGTTTAACCGGTTAGTTTTACATCTACATGCTTATTATCTGTGAATTTTTACTACCATATGCTTAATATATTGTTTTGTCTGCTAACTTGAATTTACATGCAGTAAAAATCACGTTTACAGAATATAAGGTTTACGGCTCGGCTCATAGTCGCTAAACCGCTAGCTTGGCGAGTAAAAATGCAACGGCGCCAACGGGTTCTCTGCGGATGAAAACCCAAAATAAATATTTCTAAAAAAGCATTTCATAACAAAAAAGGAAAAAAAAAAAAAAAAAAAAAAATTTTTTTTTGCAGGTTAAAGGAATTTTAGAAATGCGAGAAATATTCATATTTGAAACTTAATTGCAAGTCAGTATGAAGTTTTTAATGTACAAAATAACTTTCAAGTATAGTTTTAACTTATGCTGTTTTTCAAGATAAACATAGCGGAATCGAAATAAATATGAAAGGAATAAAACAAGTATTTAGTGATGATAAGAAAAATGATAGTAAATAAAGGTTCAACTGAAATCTGGTTCAATCATTCTTTTAATCATGCAGAAATTCTAGACAGTAGGGTAAAAAATAATTAAACTTACTTGTCTTATGAACAACTTACTCGGAGTGGCTCTAATCAATTTTCGTATTTAAACCGCTCAAAGCATATGTAAACAAAACATCACTGTTGCCATAATAATTTTACATTATCATGAACATATTAAATTATTAGTCCAAAGAGGCTTTGTCCCTAAAGGACGATTGTTTTCGTTTTGCAATTTTGCGTTGAATGAATATAAATGTCCGTTTCACTTTTCAAAATGTTGCCACCAAATATTAGAGTATATATTATATTTGAAGAAATTAAAACATGAAAAATTCGAGTGGCTCCTAAACACTATACCATCTGGGGGAAAAATCTTTTTATTATAAATTAATTTTAATATAAAAGTTATTTTAATATATGTGCATTTAAGAAAAAAGAGCAGTGAAAATTTCCCAAAATCGCAAGCAGATAAATTTTGGCAGCATAGTTTTGTCAAAAATTGCGCGATTTGGCAACACTGCGTTGCAACTTGATTCGCTGTTTGTAGCTGCGCCAAAGAACTAACTTTTAAAATCGTGTATTTAACAGCTTTTGACACTAACATATTTTCTGAAGCAGGGTAGAATTCGAAAGGTAAATCCTCTTGAAAAACCAACAAAGATGTCTTGTAGAATATAATACAGTATTATCAATTAATTACATAACTGCTTTTCTCTTACTTGAAACAGAACTTTATTAATCTTGTGAGATATTTAGTCCAAGGCAGTTTAATTATAATATTGTTTTTCAAACTTTTAATATTAGGTATATTTATATTGTAATAGATGAGTAAGAATTAAGGATACAGTGGATATTTAGCTGAGCTATGCTAATCATCCTAAATGCTACTATTTATCCTGTGATATATCTATATAATATAATAGTATATAATAGTAATATATATAATATAAATATTTAGGAAGTGAAAAATTTCCACACTTTTTTTAAAAAATTAGAATCTTTATTGATTATTTATAATGGGAATATTTCTGTTCCATTTTATTTCTCGCTTCCTGTTAAATAGTCTTAAAATTTGTTTTAATTAAAAATAAATAAAAGTTGTAGATTGATAGAAGCTTTCCATAATGTGAAACAACCTTTCCATGAATACGTTTCTTCCCGTAATGTTATGCAACTGCAACTTTAAAATATTAGATTATGTTAATTAAAATTTGGGTAAAATCCTAGGAGAGCCCTTGGTGACAAACTGGGAAAGTGCAGAATGTCTGCATGTTTCTCAAAATTGCCAACTTAAAAATGGCAAGTAAACAAATTGCACAAACTTGGTATCCATGTACACATCGACCTGTTTTCACTTAAAAAAAATCCCAGAATTGCACAAACTTGGCACTGCACACTCTCTTGGCTTTGTCCATGTACACATCAATATGTGCCATATAAATATGTTATATATGGTGCATATTGTATAATATATGTTATTAAATGTGGACTTTAAATAAAATTTTTAGAGTCCACATTAATAACATTGCAACAGCAAAAATTGCAAATATGGTGCAAGTTAGATCATTTTTAAATGCATATATTTATATTAATTGCACTAATTGTATATGTTTATTATATGAATATTTTAAATGTCTGTTTTATCATTCATTATTAATATATGAACATTTCTGTTTTGATTGTTCTGTTCAATGTATCTTTGATTTTAATTTCACTTTTAAATTTTAGCACCATAATTTTATCAAAGTCTTCTGAAATTTAGTCACAATTTCACTCAATCAAATCTAACAGTGTAGTTCACAGATGCAGCATAAAAACTATGTCAAATAACAGTCACTAAGGTGTATGGATTACGTTTTTCATGCCATCTGTTTTGTTTATTTCATACTTATGACTGCATAAGAAGACTTACATGAAACAAATGTGTCACAAGCAGTGACACTGAGATGTTGTTTCACATAAAACTGAGAAGTACAGCACTAATTAGCACTGTAATTGTTAAAGAAAGTATCCTAGCTTTTAAAAAGCTTTGTTGCATGTAATGTGAACTTAATTACTTTATCATTTTAAGAATAAGAAGGGTTTGTGTGTTTATTTAATTCATAATGCAAAGCATGCAAGGGCTAGCTGAAAAAGGCATGCTTTTGTGAATAATTTCTAGGGCAATTAGGCTCATATTTACATCACTTAAGGAAAACCATGAAAATGTCACAAAATTCACAAAACACATGCGAAAAAAAATAACCTGCACAGCCAGCTCATTTTTCAGGATTTGAGCCGAGATTTAACTACCACTATTCAGCCTTCTGAATTACTTGTAAGACTAAATATGTAATATGTAATATGTAATATCATGTAATAAAAAGTTAACTGTGTGTTGTGTGGCAGGATTGCTTTCTCAAGTATCAAGATAGGAAATACTATTCTTTTCTAAATCTATTCTTTTTTTTTTTAAGTGTTTGGTCATGGTATTATTCATTACATGTACTTTCCATAATTCATGTAGAATACTAATATTTCTACTACAAGTGTCTTTTTTTTTTTTTTTAAAGTGTTTTGCTTGTTGATATTCTCAAAATCGTATCTGATAATTAGTATAGTAACAGGTATAAATACAATAGACGTATATAATCAATCAGGAGTGGCCACAACTGCATATTTACATTATTCTAAAATAGGTGAAGTAGGTTTCAGGCAACAAGAAATGTGGATTCCAAACAATCATTCAGTGACAATGTTAGTTCAATAAGAGCTATGTGCCTGTAATAAATTACTGAATGCATGACTTTTAATACATCCATTTTACATAAACAGTTTTTCAGTATTATTTTTTTTTTAATTTACTAGCGGTACAACTCTAATATATGCCCTAATTTGGCGCGATTGCGTGTTCTATGGCAACCCCGTTGATGTTGAAAAATTTTTCGCTGGAGCTCGTTGATTCGCCGGCATACCGCCTTTAACATGCCGCCACGTAATCACTATTGTATTTACATGACAGCAAGACACACTGTCCAGAAAATTTATACTATGGTTCACAAATAAATAAAATCACAAATCCCTATTTCTATCATGCACTGCCATTAAAAATAATCTCCCAGACCCTCTTTCCACACTTCCAAATACCCACTACCCCTCAACAGGATAGCCACATTCATATTTCCTTTTGCCGAACTTTCAATTCAACAACTACCATTTTATCTTTCCCTCCCATCATCTCAGACACAGAGGCGAACCAACGAGCTCCAGCGAAAGATCTGTCAACGTCAACAGGGTTGCCATAGAACACGAAATCGCGCCAAAAACCAGCGCAGAACAGAACACATATCGCCACATTTGGTGAAATTAGGGCGTATATTAGAGTTGTACCAAATGCTTAATCATGACGAAGATTAGGTGCGAAATTGGGAGAAAGTGCAGAATCGCAAACTGCTTGCCGCGTTTTTAAGAATTGCACATACACGGTATCATCCATGTGCGCGTCAACCAACTTTCACTTAAAAAAGCATCCCAGAATTGCACAAAATGGCATTGCGCACACTCTTGACTTTATCCATGTACACTACTAAAGTCCTAGCTAGTAACTTTTATCGCTGTTATGTCGTGGAGCAAAAACAATTTTATTTTGCACCTGACTGCCACTGGCTCCAACATAGCAATTTGAATACTCTACATCTAAAATTTTAAACATCATTCCAGAATTTTAAATGTTTATTTAATAGAATTCTATTCATATATTTGCAAGTTATACACTATAAATACAATAAACAAAATTTGAACTTATCTGCGCCAGTGTGAATAAGCCTGGCATAATATTCTGAACTCGACGCAACTTTAGCAGGAAAAATACCGCTAATTCAAACACAAGGTTTCATCCTTTCCAAAGCAGCTAATTTTCTAAATATATTTTACTAATATCCGCAGCGGGACAGCGGATTCCACTTCATTCACCCAAAACTCAAATGTTATATCGTAATAGTATCGCAAAAGAAGCAAAAAACATCGACTCAAAATCAAAATATTAAAATCTATAGAATATCATCCGCTGTTGCCATTCCAGCACTGCCAAGTTTTTCTTCCTGCAGCTGTTGCCAGACTTATCCTCGCTGTATGTGAGAGGTACAACAATCGCCTTGCCAAAATGTCGCCAAACTACCTGTTACCATATTTCAAAGATTAGCCTTTTTTTTTACTAGTACATAAAAATCTAACATTGTGGTTCTCAACCTATTTTGCCCTATTCCACCCCTTTCGCCATTGCTAGAAGATCATTCTCATCATGCCCTTCCTTTTCAGTACTCGAAAAATGCATATGTATATTTATTTAGATTTCTTAACTTGCTTTATAAATTAAACAACAAAAAGTACAGAAAATGTTGGTGTACAACCAGGATTTGAATAAAAATAGTATTTTATATTCATAAACCACAGCTGCTAACTGTGGTTTTTCTTCTGGTCTCCTGGTATATCACCAAATCTCCCATTTTTCAGTTTTTAGCCTTTATTAAGGAACATTTTTCCCAGAAATGAATAAATTTCATTGAATGAATTAAACTTAAATTGTGCTAATTCGATCTTTTCACCTTTAGTGATTTTCAGAATAATTTTTCTTCTTAAATTTTATTATACTTGAATTGTATTTTTTATTAATTTTATTAAACATCATCTGATCTGAATTATCTTAATCTAATGGAGATATTTGTAGATGTTTACATCAGGGTTCAAGCTCTGTTTAATCAATTAATATTTATGTCTAATTTAATTTTATTTCGATCTACAGTACATTACCAAGTTTATCCGGATTTAAAGTACTTTGATCAGTAAAAGCTTTCATTCACTACTTGAAAATTTCTCAATTCATACTCTATTTCGATTTTATTTTTGCCATCAGTTCGTACTGTATTTTGATTTGCTGTTTAATGTGTGAGCTACAGTTGAACACTTTTTTATAAAATCTTCATTATGTAGATGACAAAAAAATATCTCAATTCAGAAAAACTGTAAATTTCAACATTACACTGATCAATACATTATGTAAGTATAATCAGACATCAAGCTGATCTTTACCGTATGGTATCCCTTGGTTTCTGAAAAAAATCAGAAAGTAGTATTGGTTGTTCGTGAAATCTAAAAACCCCAATGTTAGTAACTGTAATGTTGATAATGTTGGCAAAACTTGCCTTGGAGAATTTTTTTTTTTTTTTTTTTTTATCATTAAGAAGCCGTTTTTCTGCGAATATCACCAAATGTGTTGTGATAAATTGAGATTTTGGCTATTTTTTGTAATAGTATTACTTCAGTATGGACCGGGATTTTTTTATACTTACCATTCTTTTCAATTGATGTGTTCGGTTGCACGTGCATTAGTGTTGTATTTTGATGTGGGTACCATCATTTGAGTATGTCTGAGGTAAGTAAGAGGATGAATGTTGATGTTTGGGTTCTATTATGTGTATTTATCCACCATTAATAGCAGATGAGCCGAAACAACCAAAAATTTAATTGAATTGCTTACATGGAAGATGGTGGTGGGAAGCTTGAAAGTATGCTCATGATAAAAAGGTATGTTAAAAAAATTGACGTTTCATTTATTTATTCGTCTCCGTATGTTATGTTAATTTTTGTTAAAAGAT